GCATTATAATGTCTACTTGATCGCGCGCTACCATATGCATACATTGCTATTTAGCTCAGGCTAGTCTCAATTAACCTAGCCTTATTTTTCTACCATTTACTCCTACTGGAAATAGGACGGCTCTTTGTTAACATAGATTTTGGAAAGATTAAATGACTCTTTGCTCTAATCGTCAGCGAGATACTTATCATGTTCCTGTTTCATTTTGTTTAGAGACTCTTTTAGATTCTTAAACAATCGGACCCATTAAAAAAGTCGGAATCTAAGCTAGAGTTTACGGACTTCTCGGCATTTCAACAACTTACGGATAAAACATATGGTCAATGTACCGCGTTTTATCCTCAAGGCAGTAGTAAATTGGAAGAAAATCTTAGTTTAGATAAAAATTTGCCTGTATTTGTTTTTGCTGGGGCCATTACGCAGCCTTAAAATTAAATTTTTGCTGTTCTTGAAACTACCTTATTTAGAATATTATATCTTTTAATAAAAAGTATAAAACCTAGCAACAACCATTGAAGTCAATTGAGTGAAGTGAACGCTCCGATGCGCTCGCTAAACGAATGATCAAATGAAAAAATTTCAAATCGTAGCTACTCATTGCGATGAAAAATATCCTATACTCATATAATTTGATAATAGGTAGGTAGACAGGAAAGGTAGCAGTTAATAAAAATAGGCTCGATCAAAGACTACGAGGGCATCTAGAAGCTTTTAGATGCTTCATTTTCTTATCATCGAAATCAAACATTTTATAACCAATTAGCAACGGTATTATTATAGAATCAAAAGTAGATTAACGCTTAGATTTTTCTCAATGCAAGCCTCGTCTTTAATTTGGTGCACAAATTATGCTGTTGCACGAACGACCTAACCCTAAGACTGTTTTTGAGTGGCTCGTTCGAAGATCACTAATGAAGCTGACCTGGGATGGACAGTGGCCTGTTTTTGCATTGAACTGGGCTAACTAGCTTTGCTCGTTATCCTTCCATAAATAGCATTTCAAACGAAGATGAACTAAGCTACTACTAACAGAGATGCATGATATTTGTAATTATGCTTCCGCAAAGTTATTCATTTTTTTTTTCCCATAAATAAAATGAGATTCATCTGATGACGCCAGATTAGCGCTGATGTCGTTGCGCCCATATAGAGGTTTTCAACATCGCCTTTACGAACAGATTCGGAATAGGTCTGAATACATTTGGAACACTTGTTAGCACCATTTGAGATAGTATTTTATTCAAGGTAAAACGCAGAATAGACATTTAGTTTTTGGGGCGCGGATTATATGAACCTCCGCTTAGATTGAGGGCACCCTTAATGCATTTAATCTCGGATCTATTCCGACGACAAATTGCTTTCCTGGATTTGCCATGATCATTTCCGATGCCAAATTATGAACGAGGAACGATTTCACGAATACCTTATGACATCAGAATCACCATTATAGAGCTATGTACTATCTACTACGTTAAATAAATGAATACATCTAGGCCGTGATGTTATTTTTGAAAAAAACAAGCATATTTCGACTATTTTTCTAATACAAACATCATAAATATATTTTAAGCTTTACATGGTACGTTTTTCAAAGCTGTAAAAATGACGCGAGGATTACAACTAAATAATGCATTTACCTCTAACAAAATTGCGATCTCTAACCTTTTGAATGTGGTGCCAAATTATTCCTCACCCAAGTACAATCGCAAGTATTGTTCAATGATTTCCTTTACCGAGGTTGGCCATTTGATATGTTGAGTACATAGCATTTGACCTTTCCAATATCTCCATTATTTTACTAGAAATTTTTTGTTTATCGTACAGTCTTGAAACAGACTAAATTTCTCAATAGAAGCAAACAATTTAAAAAAAAAGTCACTCAGACCTTGTTTGTCCAACTCTCTAGAATGTATTAACGAAAACATAAGATTTGACTTCTGATGATTGCAGAAATAAGATGTTCTTCGCTTGGATAGATCAAGCATTCGACTTCACTTGGAAAGTCTGTTTACTTCTTTTGGTTGATTTGGGAGTTTGTATTGTTAGTAGATTTTAGGCATCACAGTAGATCTGTGCGTTGAAAAACCAGAATGACATCTGAGAAAATTTGCCGGTCTTACACCCGTACTAGCGCAGCAGAGGGTGGAGTCGATCTGGACAATGCGGACATCTCAGGCTCATGCTTATCGGCGCGCACCTTTATCATCGTGCTACGTCAGAGAATTTATTTTGAACATACTGGAAGAAGTTACATGTCCAGTCTGAGTCGACCACAGATTTTGCGGCGCCTCACTGGTGACGACCATCGCGCTAACGCATCGCCAGCTGACGGGTCGACAACAAAGAATAGAATTGTAAACACGTCAACGAGCGGTATTTATTTTGCCCACATATTAGCGTTGCAAAAGAATGCACGCTATAAAGAAGAATTATCCCGAAAACTCATCAATCGACTCAAAAGCAACTAATTATTTAGCCCCCGAAGGCCTATGAGACCGATAACTATAACGGTTTGAGATATTGAAAGGGAGCTAAAATAGGAAGCGCGAGTCCAACACCCGGTTTACGCAGTTATGCTTTTAAAAACTTCACCGCAACTTCTAGAATAATGTACAGGCTCTGAGCAGTCGATGTGGTAATAAAAGCTTTCACCTAATCATTAGCATAATAAATTCGTGAGAACAGTGGCGGCGCTAAGAGATCCACTTCAATGGCTAAAAAGTGAAGTAGAATGAAGGAAAACTAAGTGCATATAGTCATGATGGTATTAGTTATACAAATGATTGGCTGTGAGCCCTAATAAAAGCACTGTGGAGACGAGCAGCAAAAAATACCTAATAACAGGTAATGGAAATGAGTAAATAAATAATTATATCTAGATGCAGTAAGATTTACATGCGTTGTTTGGCGTTATCCGTACGGTTGCCTCGTAAGCGCAAGGCTGAGACATTCCCCCATTAAGGAAAAGTCTTATTTGTAATGTATCGTGTAACATTCCTGATTCAGGAAGCATTTAACACCTTACTTGAGTAACTGCCGCACGCCCTGCTGCGTTTAGAGCCGGCGTCAAGGTAAAGTGAGGAAATATGGTGAGCATGTACACCAACCAGTAAGTAGATTGAATTTCGTTTTCTTAATGCCTTTAGCTTTGTGAGTAAGTTTTTGGACCACCTCTTCGATCTGGCATGGGGTCCTGCTTTCATTAGAAAGCCTATAGGTTTTGCTGGACTCATCTATGGTTTCCCCAATAGAGCCATAAATAGCTATTCTTACATGACCCTTTGTGCGAGATGAAAAAGTCAAAGGAGAAGGTCAATGCAACCGTCCTCTGAAGTGCACTTTCGAAAATGAAGGCCAACTTTAACTGATATCTACTTACGAAATTTTTCGAAAAACTCACAAGCATGAAACGTTTATTTTGATGTCGCGTTTAACTTCAAAAGGATAAGCGTTTATTTGATAGATCTGGAAGATATGATCGTCAAAGTTGGACATTATTAATATTAAGAGAATCGGAAGGCAGAAGATGCTTAAAACCATGAACATTGTTTAAGCGTGATAGCCATGTTGAAATTGTTTAGCTAATTAATGAGCTACACACATAAACGTATTCTGAGCTAACTTGAAGGAGTTAGAGATGGGCAAGAATAAAGCTTAAGGTATCCGATTAACACGAGTTGGCACCGGTATGTATACGTGTCAGTAAGAAAAGGGTCAGATATTCTATTATACGTCTATGGGGTCAACATTGAGACCAACGTTATGTCTCGATCACTACTTATCGTGCAAGGTACCACGAAACAGTAGTACAATGATGTAGCATCAGCTATGCTGGCTGTGCGGGTTCGCGAACGCGTCCAAGAGCGTAAGCGCTACCTCAAGTTCTTCCGCGCAACACGTACTATGTCATTTTTAAGAGAAGTGGAAGTGGCAAACAAAAAAGCAAAACATATCCAACGTAAAATACGCTATAACCTGGCTGTAGTTAGTGGAGTATTCTACAGAATAAAATATTCGATTAGCTGTGTGCTAGAGAGAAATAATGGTGTATCACTGAAGTAAGGTTTTGGTATGTTAGACGACTTTTACGCTTAAAGCTGGATATTTAAACGCCCAAATTACTATAGGCAGTGCCAGTGCTATCAGCCGTGTGAGGATCGTAGCCTCCAGCAACTAATATTCCTCATGTAAGTTTTACAATCTAACTATATTTTCAACGGAGGTGATTCAGTTAGAGTTTTTCGTTACGGGATATCGCCGTTTTTTTTTTTTTGTTTGGGTCACAAGCTCTGACCCAGCCTCCACCGCACTAATTAGTTCTATCGTTACGAAGTCTACGCTTTTTTTTTGTGTACTATTTTGTCTCTGGTTGCAGTTACAGGCGTTCATGTTTTTAGATCGGCCATCATCTGTTATCTGAGAAAAACAGAATTTCATATTTCACGTATTTTTTCAGTTGTCGAACACAAGTTTTTGAACAAATACGACAGATACGTCCACCGTTCGGTATCTCTGTACATCGTGCGCGTAAACAAACTGGTTTTTGTGCTTAGCGTATCTTCTTAACATGAACGGTAAAAATTTGACAGTTCTTTACACTTGTGCTCAGCTTCTTCTTTGTTTTCTTTAACGCAAAAGACACCCTGTTTTTCCCATTGTCAAAAGAAGGCCTTACTAAGTTCAGCCAGATCGGCTTGTGCTCAGACAGTGAACGGGCTAATGACATTTCGGAAAGGTATTTCTCTATTACGCAACATCTACATGAGTTGAAATAGTTTACATTCGACAATGTATACATTTTCGCATTTAAGAAGTCGACTCGAAGTTATTCGTCGCTGAAAACCATCTAGTAAATGCTCCAAATTTGAAAACTGTAGGACATTCTGATTGAGACTACGAACCGCCCGCTAAATAGCGAATGGATCTAGCTTACGGAGGCACTTCCGGTGACCGTGTCACCAGCATCGATAGTAGACCTTCTTGGTGAAAACATTGGGCGATTTCAGTGGTGTGAAATAAAAATTGTTGTACTCAGCATTGTTAGAAAGACGTTAGGCGCTCGCTCGAAGCGTTTATTGAGTGGCGACATGATGATTTGAAACGGACGGAACGTTTGAGGGCTCGCGGGGTTGAGGCAGCAGCCGATCCACGATCCGTTACCGGTCCTTAGAGGCCGTTCGGGTTGCGGGTCCTGCCGCCACCGCTGCTTTGTATTAACTCTTGACTATAGATAGAGTGCTGTGAGTAGTATTGAAGTGTGAGTGAGTCTAGTGGTGAAGAAATTCACCGTCAGCAATCGAACCAGATTCGCCAATTGAATGGTTGGTAAATATTTTGCAAAGTCCCAGTCGTTTGTTAAAGATGCATGTGTAAGTTCAATCGATAAACAGACAGGATCTAGATAGACAGAAACACGTAACACGCACACAGTGATCTCGCGAACAGCGATCGTTACGTGTGTTTTACTTGAACGTTTTCATTCATTGAAAATTCATCTTGGCACTACTCAATTCGAAAACACTACTCAGTTTGCGAATGCGATACAGGGTACTTCGGAACTCGAACGAGGAGTTTTCGAGAAAGTGGTAGAACTCGGTATACGAAGCATACTTCTTAATAAAACTATGAGGCGCCTATATCGACCTCACCGTCAAATGTTAGTCTATGGAATAGACTGACTTTACAGATGCGTCTTGGGAGACGTACGAGTGCGCACGACATAATATCTGAATTGTGTGAAACTGATTGAAAATGTGCGCGTGCGGTGAAAAGGCTCTTCTAACTAGCTAATTAATAGCTAGCAGAACCGGGCCAAATAGTGAAGAACTATAGTTTATAAGCTGTCCCCTAAGCTGACTCGCTTTAGAAGCTTCTGGTGTAGCACAAAGTTTAGTAGTGTCTATGTAAATTTACAGTTAGCTTTTTTATTCAACATAAAACGAAACTGAGACTAGAGAGGTGTTAAAATAAACTTTAGTTTCGAAAATATTTTTTTACGACAAACTCAAATATTTTGACAGCCCCCGACAAGTAGGCGGTTCCGCGCCCCCAGTAAATAGAATCGAATTCACAGAAACTGCTGATAGTAGTGGTCCTTAACTATTTGGTGCTGACAAAAAACAGGACTTGGAATCTACCAAACGCAGCTCAGGAAGTGAAGTCAACTAATTCAGTACGTTTTGTTCCTGCTTTGGTACGCGCGTACATTCGAACACGAGATCTGAAATCATTCAATTAGGCGAGGGGAAGCCTCGCTTTACCATTTTTCTTGAGAGAAACATGCGGAATATGTCATTTTACTTTTTTGACGTCCTGTTAGTGAGAGTCGTCTCTATTGAAATAGTTTCAATTATCGTCGGTACCAAGCGTGTGTTGTGGTTAAAGATTGCTGTTTCGAGTAAGCATCGCACTATCTCGCAAACAATGTAACTGGAAAACTAACTCTGTCTCGAATTCTGCAAAGGGATTTAATTGCGTCGAAAAAAGCCTACACCGTTATCGTTTACAACGAAAGCATACTTCATCAGCATTTTGTTAGTCCTTGGCGCTTGCATGGCATTAGCTTGGAACGCATTGTTCTAATACTACGCAGATTCTGTAAGGTGTTCAGTCAGGATGGAAAGTTTCTAAATAATTCCTAGAGCTGAAAAATCAGACCACACACATTAAAGCTCTATCTTATTGGCGTGGCTGCTGCTAATCAGCTGTGACCAGCTGACTAACAGCATACGTGTGTTCACTTGTTTGCAGTACTTCTTGCACAGTTACATATCTCTCGATATGATCTTTTGATATCCAACGATTAAATAAAGATCGACATTATTTTGTGAATGGAATCTATCCCCCACCCACCTAAAAAATTGGCCTCGGAAGTTGAACACTCTATGCTAATCGATGCTGACTAGAGTTAGTGCTATGTTAAGGAACATCGTTGTGTACGTCAATGAATGTAAGCGTAATTCACGAGTCGTCGATCGCTACCAGACGTTACCTGGCTCAGTTCACAAATTTACCCGGGAGACGCTCACTGTTCATTGTATATCATACTGCTTCTATTGCTAGTCCTATTACTGATTAGCAAGCGTAATTGCATGCTTTTATTATGCGTGACAACAGCTAGGTAAGTTGTCGCAAATCGGCAGTACAAGAACTGGTGATATTGTTTTTCCACCCGTGCTTTAGTTAAGCTGGTCGAGGCTGGCTCATTGACTGTGGCCAGCTTAATGCAGAACTGCGATATATTAGCAGGTTGTTATCAGCTCACTTGTTCGCTGTATATTGCCAGTATTTTTTTTTTATCAAAGTTGCTTTCAGACGATGCCTTTTGGTAAGCAACCCCAAAGAAGAGAAGCTATTTTCATCTTTCGCATTGTTGCTGTCTATTACGAATCTCTTTGCTTAGCAATAAGGTTCGCTTCTTGTGGACTGATCTGTGGGTATTGTCGAAAATGAACTTCCAAGATGATACAGCCAACAGCAAAATATGCAGCAATAAAATCCGTATAGTTTTCATGTATTGTTAGACTTTAGAAAGTTAACGCTGCTGATAGCAGCTTTCCGAAGTAGTATCTCAACGTTTTACTCGATTCAAACTCTTTCAACCTGTATGTCTTCCGCCGTAGGTTCGATTAATCGCCATTTTCAATGAAAACTTATTGATATCGTCTGAGACATTCCGCTGCACGTTAGACCAGTTGCTGGGCGGATCAGGGGTTAAAGTTTGAACGATGACAACATATTGGCTGGACTGCTTCTTTTTTTTGAATGTGTCCAAAATGGTGAGGGAAAGCGGATTGTCGCTTTTTGATACACATCCGGTTGCAGAGTAGCTAGAAGACTAGTCTTGTGGGGCATTACTTCTTATAACGCAGCGGTTGTTTTGTACTATGCCTTACTATTGTCATCATTACTATAAGTAAATTTATTAACCAGCCATTTTAACGTAGTTCAATCAGCGATATGTGTTGCTAGGTCACAATTGTTTTATTGCACGAAGCGATGTTCTTCGTGCATTGACTGGCCGAACTTATTAAAACTGCTTCAGCAGGGTCCGCAGTGTTATTACCATATTTATTGCCAAAGTTTCCAAGTTTTGCGTTATTGTTTCCGATAGTACTCTATCTACTACTCCTAATGGTTGGGCAAATTTTATTATTTCAAATATTAAAAAGCGTTCTCCCGAAAACATATTTCTTATGAACAGGAGTGTGGTTAAGAGCTAATAATATGACTAAATAATCCTAGCTCGTTCTATAGCTCATAAGGCGACCGCATTGTTTCGCTGTTTCACGAGCAGCGTGAGTCATTCACGATCCCCTGATAGCAGTACAGTTGTCTCCGCTAACTTTAAGCGCTGCCCCTTGTACAATGTTGTGGTGCAAAGACCGCCTAAGGAGCAACAATATTTTGATCAAGTCAGACGTTTTTTATTCAGTCAGGAGCCAGAGCGTTCAAGTTGTATGATAAATATATATATTTTTTTTTACTAGAATAACGCTCTGCTACTTTAATCTCTGAATGATCATCATTGAGTAATGCGTTAAACTGGAAAATGGATTTTCCATACGGGAGATGGTGTAGGTTCTAAATGTCCCTTCATACAGCTGAGACACAATCCTAGAATATGCAGCCATTGCTACACGACCGCAGTGATTTAGCCTAAGTATTATATATGGCACCTTTATTTTAGTTTGTACATAAATGACGCTTTTCGTGTTGCATATTGGCATCTTTTGCGATTATCTTGGAATTGGCCCGCGGAAGAAAGTCGATTTTGGAACCTCTTTAAGAGGTCCGATGAGCATAAGATTATGCACTGTTTGACTTGCGTGGATGAATCTCGTAGCGTAAAAGTAAAGAAGTAACCAAAGCTTTGGTTACTTCTCTAATTCGGTGGCGTTGACAAGAAAATCGGCAAATATTGAACACAGTTAAGATCTTCACATTGAGATATTTCAAAACCCGTAGAAATATGAAATATCGGTTTATTTATGGTCTATGTACCGTAACATTAGATTGAACAACTTCTCACAATTTATGTGCATTTCGATTAGCTACGTTTTACATTACATCACTAGCTTTGCGTATTAGAATTAGAGCGAGAAAACAATTCTTTTATAACAGCTGATTTATAACTCGCCATTATTTTTCGTCCACAGTGGAGTTGCCATAATGCGGGAACCAGAGGGCCGACTCCTGGAGATGTCGTGGGATGGGTTCGACGAAAGCATCCGTCGAGAACTAGACTGGTTCTGGCGAGACCAGCGAACTCTAACGGACGTTACGCTTTTTTGCGACGGTGGCTCAGTACGAGCTCACAAACTTGTGCTAGCGTTGTGTTCGCCGTATTTTCTTAACATGTGCATTGAAACACAGGCAGGCTGCAATAATTCAGTGATTTCACTGCGAGGTGTAGACGTGGCTGACTTCAAACTGCTTCTCGAGTTTATGTATCGTGGGCACGTTCTAATCGAAGAGAGTAAAGTAGATCATGTGGTCAAGTTGGCAAGGGCACTTTATGTTCGCGGCTTTGGATCCGAACGCGAGGTGAGAAAGAAACGGGAGCGCAACGGCAGTGTGGGATCAGTTTTTGCCGACTCAGAAGGGGAAGAAAATGACGAAAACACCCAACGTAGAAAGGTATATATTCGCCCTGAGGAAATCGCCCTTGATGATGTACCACCTAACCGAGTAACCCGAGCTTCGCTTGCCAATCAGGAGGTAGCCAGATCATCGCGGAGACTCTCAGAATCCCGCGGATTGAGTCCTGAGAAAAAGGAGTCTTCAGTAAAGGATAAAAATTGCCCGAAACGACCGCCCTTGATAGCTGCTAAATCACCAGAGAAATCAAAGAATACTACTCAAGATAAAGAATCTACAAAACCCTCGCCGCGTAAACTTCGCGAGAAAACGCCAGCAGCTGAAAATGAGGCCCCCAAAGAGGCAGCGAGCAAAAAAGATTCCCCTAATAAATATATTTGCAAATTATGCGACTTTACTGCTACCACTGCCACAATCCTGGCGACTCACCTCGTGCAAAAGCATCCGATGACCCCAAAGGCTGCGGAAACACCGACCAACGATAAACGCCTTTCTGAGAAACCTAAAGAGTCGTCAAAAGAAGATACTTCATCGCTTATATGTGATATCTGTGGCTTTACGGCAGGCAATGCGGGTGCATTGGGCAATCACCGTAATAGGCACAAGCAAGAAAGCATCGTGCCATCAGGGCCAGCTCAGGCTCCGTTAGGATCCAATGCGCAAATATCTGTTACCTCGCCCAGCCACACGGGTCCTGCCATTGCGACACCTTCGCCTCCTAAATCTTCGCCAGTTACTGATATGTACTTCCAAATGGCCAATTCTGAGCACTTCAAAATTATATATGACTGCCCAAAATGTATAAAGATCAGCTTTAAAACACCAAATATAATGACCCGTCATCTAATGAAAAGACATCACGGTGAAGCGGTACAGCCAATTACAAGGGTAAATTGCGGGCATTGTGAGCATGCGTTTGGACCTAGTGAACGAATGGATTCATTCGTTGCACATCTCAAGCAGGCACACAGCATTGATGCGCAAGAAGTCAAAGAAGTCATTCCCGTTCGAATCAAGAATGAGCCTATGGAGGATGATGCAGACCAATCGGCAGTGCACGATAATGGGTCACGCATGCCGGCCGAAGCCCGTGGAGCTCCCTTAAACGGCCCAGTGGATGCTTTGGCAAGCCAAGCGGGACATTCGTCCGGTCATCATCCGGTACGCGAGACCCTTGTAGATACCACCTCGAACGCTGATACAGAACGTGCGTCATCGCGCGGTAGCTTCGCCCTCAGCCCAACGTCAAGTGGCGGGGACCGAGCCATCGTCGCGGGTAAACGCAATCGGCTATCTCACGACGACGAAGCCACGATAGAAACATCTGAAGTAGCATCAGGATCAAATGCCCCAGCCGCCACAGCGGGAGTGACTACGCCACCTGGAGCGGACCTTTCACGTGTGAAACGTGAAGCCGATGCCAGTAATGAAATTGTAGTGGAAGAAAACGGCGTGTTCCACAAATGCCCTCAATGCAACTACCACACCTCGCAGGAACATTTCCTCAAACGACATATGATCGCCTGCCACAGTAACGGCAGCACTGAGGAACCGTTTTTGTGCAAGTACTGCAATTTTTCTACGGGCCATCGATCCACTATTAAGAGTCATCTTGTCATGGTACATCGAGATACGACGACAAAAGTGAAGGACTGCTTTCGAAACGCGGCGGAAATTAGCCGCCTCGAACAAAATCGCGAAGAGACAAGGAGCCGTTTGCACCGTTCCAGCGATCGAGGCGTGAGTACTGGAGCTAGCATGAGTAACACGAGCGACAGCAACAAGGTGACACGGAAGAGGAAGACTTTTCCCGGCTCTGGGCCTTCGTCGTCGTCGTTGTTAACAAGCGGAGCCAATGAGACATCTACGTCGTCCACGCCGGCTACCCGAGCTAAGCGAAGCCGAAAGTCCAGATCGGAACAACAGACAAAGTCGTCCGCTAAACTGAAGAGTCCCTCTCCAAAGACACCACGAAGTTTGCAAAAGCTGGAAGCAGCCCTTAAGCTCAAGAAGGCGGCACTGGCCAAACAGCGTCGGCGCTCGGACTCTGGAGCAGCGGGTGGTAATGCTTCTGGGACTGCTGGAAAGGAAAGTAAAGGTAGCAGATCAAGCAGTCGGCTGAGTACCACGGAACACAGCGTTTCCGAAGACCCCCAAGTTAGCGTGTCATCTAAGAAAGCGGCCTCTACGGGATCGGCAAGGTTGGTCCACACTTCTCAGAACTATTTTGAACATCTGTGCAGTATTTTACGTGATCTAAGGATTACTTTTTAAACAATTTGCTGCTTAGAAACGAATGAAATAGGTCCACCTATCAAAGAGTGATACATAAGGGAAGCCTCAAATTTCCCTTGGCGGTGTAGTGAACCGTTGTTTAAGTAGGTAAGTAGCGACACATTGACAGGCCGTGCAGAGGGCATATAGGAACATGTCTGTTCAATAAGCAAACAATACTATGGAATTTTGTTCTAAAAATAATTTGTAAACATTGCAAGGCGAACTCGTTCCTCGCTTCTTCTATAAACAAGTCTGCAGCTCCTGCCATTGAAAGTTGACTGCAAGTGAGTTTGTTTTTAACTTGGAACCGAACTGTGATCTCTGCAAGCAGAGTGTCAGCTGGAACAGCGGCGGCCTCGAGTGGACGGGATGTCCAAAAGGATGCCTCCGGTGACCACAAAGAGTGCGGCACCGGCAGCGCCGCTAAGGAAATTCCCGGCGCAGCAGCGGCTGCCGCCGCCGCTGCCGTCGTTAAGGAGAAAGAAACCAAGGAACTTAAATGTCCCGACTGCACTTATGTGGCCAAGAGTCATATCATGTTTGAAAAACACGTAAGCCTGCACAGCAGCTGCGACGAAACCAAGTTAGCCCTGTGCGAGCTTTGCGGTGTCGTCAAACTGAAAGTATCGATGGGATATCACATGAAAAGGCACGAGCCTCGAGATTCCGGGCCAAGCGGTACCGTAGGAAAGAGCACCTAGGAGTGTCGTGCGTGGCCACTGGCCACTCGCCATGCCAGGCATCTGAGGAAGGACTCAGCTAGTTGGACACCTATGCCAATCAGAAGCAGGTACTAGTAATGTCAGCTCAGTCTTTTACACAAATGGCAGCAGTTTCTACCCGCCCTTAAATTGATGGCCGCACGCAGTTGATTTCTTGCAACACTAGACTTTAGTTCTACCTAAATCTCATTTTAACAGCAAGTGGTTCCCCAACTTAGCATCATATTCGAAGCAGTTCTGTACTTGAGTTCGCTGCGCGATATTCGGTGATACAAGGTTTGGCTCTACTATTTTTTATTAGCGCTATTGAACGATTATAGATAAAACACAACAAATCAACTCAACTTACTACTCCTCAAGCATACGTGTAGAGTTCTGTTAAGGAATGTCTAATCATTTTATTCCGCATAAATTTTGCGATAATATCGTTATTTGAAACATAGAGAAAATGTCTCAATGGGCCTATATCGTTTCATTGCAGATGTTACTGCTGTCGATAAGGAACCAAGTAGCGTGGAAAGAAAAGTCGGATTCACTTCACGCAGCAATTACACGTAACCGATCACACCTAACGAAGATGAAGGTGCTGACGGCGAACAAGCAACGGACCAAATATAATTATCATAATTAGTATTACTAATTTTATTATATCATAATTAATATTAGCTGGATTAATTATTGCAATAGCCTGATGCTATATGGAGTCAATGCACAAGTCTCTGATAAATGAAACGGGCAGTGGATGAGTGCGATGAACGCGAATTTTATACAGAGAAAGAGCATGTATAAATCCTGTAGAAGAGGCAGAGGTATGTACATAAAACAATGATTCAAGGGAACATGAAGTGCCCGTAAGGTCCTAAATTTCGGCCGCATTCAGATCGGACATATACAATCGGATGCAGAGGTCTCCCTTTGATGGGTGGTCCGGATCGTGTTAAGGTCACTGTCCCGATGTTTTGGAATAAAAATACGAACCTAAACTGCAAACATCAGCTTGAGTCGAATCATATTCCACACCGTAGTCCTATCGCATCGTAACGTTAGGTGCAACTCCCAGTACCGATAAACATTTGGCTTAATAAATATGCTTTTCCGCCAAAAAGATTCATCGTAAAAAAAAACTCCTTATTATTCCTTGAGAAAAGGTCGTGCGTTAAACTCTTAAGCGAATCTGCATCTACTGAAGTAGATCTTTTTAAATTAATATCTTCACAGGAAATCAGGCGAAGTTTCAAGCTTGGAAAATTAACACATACTTTGTGCCTGCTTGATCATTATTTACCCACTTGGCTAAGTGCTTTTAATCGATGGTTATTAATGTTATGTAACTAACGGTTAAGTACTATTTGCCAAGATCCCAGAGGAATGCATAGCAAACTGCTTTTTAGTTAGTATTTCTTTCGTTCATTTTATTGCAATCCATACCTAATTATAATCCGAGTGAATATTGCTAGCTCTTACAGTTAATTAAGCAACATAAGTATCCCTATTGTGCAAATATAATAAAAGAATAATTAAAACTGAGGACGGTAACTTTGACGAGATCGTCGAGCGCCAGAATGCATGCACCTCCCATTCAGAGTCGCAAAACCAAGTTCAAATATATAATCCTCTTCGTAAAGATTTGCCTAAGCCTTCCTCATTAAAGCTGATATAAGGCCTATGTACAGAGATGTTGTGCTTTGGGTGCGTCTCGAATACAGTCATAAAGAGGGAAAATAATTTTGTAACGTCGGTTACCTTTAATATGCGCCGTGATAATGTTGTGATGTATTTAGTTCTAAAAGAGCTCCTCTAATTTTTCTAAATGTTGTTTATTGTATTAATATGGAAATAGAAAATAAAAGATGAATACGTAATCTTTATTAACCTGTTACACACGTTTGGTCTGTTATATGTTCAACAAAATGAATATTATGTGATAATTTTGATGGATTGACTCGAGCACTTTTTAGATTAGCTAACTATTTGTGAACGTTACGTTTACGAACAATCTGGATCCGAAGACCGCTTTTTGGCAGGGGCCGCGACAGATGGTAATGATCACGGAGCTGTTTAGAGTTGATACATCAATAAAATTGTCGGCTGATTGTTTTTGAAAAAAAAAAAAGCGGTAAGCTGAGATCACACCGTTAGCTGCATTCGAGAACATCCAAAAAATCCGAATTGTGAAACGTTTTGTATAATACGCAGGCAGCATGCCACACAAGGGGGATATTAGTCCCTTCGATTTCTGTTATCGTTATGAGATAATATTTGTTCTTTATTAATGATGGAGATAAAAATGAAAATAAACTGAAAACTGTCATACCAGCGAAAGGACTATATCGTAATGGTACCAATAAGAAACATGCCGTTTAATTTGTAAGCTTTTTTTATTATTCTTATTGTAGACCCGTTACAGTACCGTTGAAGCTATTCGTTGATCCTGTTGTATGCAGCAGCGTCGCAAACGAATGCAAGTAGCTTAGAGCTAAGCGAGTACGACAGAAGCCTTTTACGAGTCTGACAAAGATTCACCTTACGGATGTCTAACAGTAATTTATAACTACTCGTGATATTGTGGAATTGATAATGATGATAAAGTTTGTTATAACATGGTTGAGCGTTTTTGAGAGTGATTTTGCGTTACGCAGGGATGCCACACTCTTACGTGAAGATCGAATGGAATCGTTAAAGCAGATCTACTACGATAGCTAATATCGGCAGACAATTGCCTTCAAAGTGCGAACGCGCTCGTTCATCGGTAGTGTATGTTCTACTAAATTGCCATTAAAATTAAAATTTGCTCTAACATACCAGCATTACAAATGAAGTTAAAATAGGTGAATATAAACAGAGCAGAGGAACTTATGAAGAAGTTTCATTGCAAATGCAGAGAATTGTTCCTAAGGTATATTCCCTTTTTGACGTCTTTGATTCGGGTGCATCTCGTTTTCTATCGCTGCAATTATATGTGACCTTTTGCTGGAAAATATACCCTTATATCGGTCGTTCGATTTCGTTAGTGCTTGTTTAATGGGTAGAAATGTGAAAATTACGGCCTATGGAGCTCTTGTACATGAAGTTAAGCATAGATAGCTATGTATTCAAAAGAAAGAATGCAAGAGAAACAGATGTTTAACATGTTTATGAATCACTACTTAGTAGTAGTGTAAAGGAGTTACGTTCCTATTATCAGATGGTGTAATATTAACAAACTTACACACACCTATACATATATATATATATATATATATATATATATATATATATATATAAATTCCCAAACGTATATACATAACTATAAGGACGAACGTCAAGGTAGATCTATTGATGAGCGGATTCGCTCTCTTATTCTATATAT